TTAAATATATATATTTTTTTATTTTATGGTGAATTATGACCCTTGCTTTGAAAGCATTCGGGCTCCAAAAAAAACAACACTTTAATTGGTTATACAAAAATATTGCAATATTTTACGAATTTTTTTTCGGGTGTAACAAAACAAGAGCAGTACAACGATACGCGAGTTATTGCATCGAATTAATAACGGTTGATAACAGTATTGTTTTCAAATAAGTAAATAATGTAATATAAATAGGAATATATTGTTTGATTGGTTTTAAAATTTTAGCTTATTTCTAGAACACAACTTTGATTTTTAAACCGGGCTAAGGAGGAAAAATGTTTTATTCCGATTATTTTAATAAGATTTATTATTAGTTTATTTGCAGAGCAATCATTTTCAATTTTAACTATTGAGTATTCTCTTCATTTTTGGTAACTTGATATAAAAGTATATTTTTTGTTAATTGTAGTATCTTTTATCTGTGCATTAAATTTATTTCGCATCTGATAAATTTTTAATTTTGCAAGAATGTACTATTCATTTGAATTTATTTATAAATTGATAGATGAAAGACACCACAATAAATGAAAAATATATTTTCAATTAAAATTAACTTAAGTCTATTCAGAATTTATTGATTAAAATTGAAACTCTATCGATTTGCAAATAAATTAATAATAAATATCATTAAAATTATGATAATTAATGATAGAAATAGTTTTCTGTCATTATGGACAAAGGACAAAAGATGATATTAATATAATATTGTATCTCTAGGTATTATCAATAGTAGAATAGAAATGGTTTAATCTCGCAAAAATGTCTATGGCCAGAAAAACAACTATTATTTTAAAAATTTAATATTTTACCATGATACATTATAAAATTATAATATTAATATCTAATGAAAATCTTGAATAAATAATTAAAATTATACACACAGCGTATTATGCTTTTCTACAATACGTCCAATACAAGCAGCTAACAAAAGTAATATGTAATTGCGATTTAATGCTCTAAATATATTATAAGCTTACACAATGTAATTTGATAAACGATATTTTCATTAGTCGTCTTTGTTATATTATACTATATGTATTGAGGAACTTTACAGGGTTTATTCAATTATATATTAATAATATATCTCTGAATAAACCGTGAAAGTACCTTGAGGCGCCTCTGAATTCTTTTATGATGATTTATTGTGTTGACAATCTTCCGCACAGAGAGTGCATATCATCTTTAATATAATATTATTGATCAAATGTGGAGCACCATTCAAATTTAGAACTTACTTCTAACTTTTTAAACAAATTATTATCATATACATATGAAATCAATGAATACGATTTTATGAAATAAATTGGTTATATTAATTAGATCAAGTTACTATGATTTAACGTTCGAAAATTCGAAAATGTCTATATTAAGAACCACCCTAATATATATATATATATATATATATATATATATATATATATATGTATCAAGCTATAATCGACTATTAACTATTTCTCATAAATAATACAATTACTTACCAATTGATTAATTTCATTTGATTATCAACACAGAAAATTTATTGGCACTTCCATTTTATTAGCATTCACTTTTGAAAAAGACTTTCACTGCTAAACACTGCACGAATATTAATTTCAAGAAGCCTTCCATTTCCACAGATGTACGATGAAATTAAAGGCATTACAAATAAAACCTAAAACCAGAGAATAGAAAATTAATTGATAAAAATAGTTATGTTAAGACATAATACATAATAATTAAGAGAGCAAAATTGACAAAAGAGTCCTTTTTTTCAATAATTAAATCTTTGCAAAACATACGTAAAATTTGATAAAAATATATTTACACATCGAATTGAAGTCAAACGAACTAATCAATTATGACAGAAAATTTACTAAAATTTACCTCACTAAGGGTTCTTTAAGCGAAAAGATGCATTAAAGCTCGAAAGCTTGCATTTTCAAAATTTACAATTGCAATTGTGTTGAACCGTAATTTTGGCAACTTTTTAATTTGTGATTAAAAACCAGCTTCACCATAAATTATCAAATATAGCATTTTGAAATTTGAACGAGTGCGAAATAAAAAAATTCAAAAAGTACTTACTATTTTTTAAATGTAATAAAAACCCCAGAAGAAGCAGAAGGTGGTAATTTCTCTGTAAACAATTCCGAAAATCACTAAAGTTTGACATTATTTTTTTAGTTTTCAAATTTAATACTTCAATATATTTAATCAAGAATCAAAAAAATATTTTGACAAGTACCACAAAGTGAACTATCTTGTTTGATAATAATACGTAGTACCAAAGTATATAATATAAGTCAACTTGTCTAAGGCTAAATATCACAAAAGTTAAATAGTATTATAATTCACCTTGTGGTGAACATGCAATACTTCCTCAAAATGTATGAATTCCATTATATAAACATAAAAATATATTCTCGGTTAAAATAGTAATGTTATGGTAACTCAATGTTACGGATCTATCTTGGTATGAATTTTTAGTAACGAAGGAATAAAAATGTTAGCAATATTACTTCAAATGATGACCAAATCCAATTGCTATAAAGCAAATACATAGTATTTTCGCACTTCGTTACGACGTTACCAGTTACCAATACTTCGTTACAAATTCATACGAAGATAGACCCGTAACATTTTTATTTCATCGGATCATTGATGCCAATATGGATATATTTTATTCCTATCATTATTTTCTTATTGGATTTCATATAAAAAGTGCCCAATCACTTTAATTTTGCATTTAAAATGCAATTGTCCTGTCTAGATGGAAGAGCATTGTGCTTTTGAAGTGCTACTTAATCCAAAATGACCTGAAAGCTTTATTATTTTTAAAGGGTAGCTTCAGTGAGGTAATATATGTAATTATTGCATTTTTGTATTTAATAACTAATAAACTTCCCGAAGGCTAAGTTATAGTAATCGCAAAAAAATCGAAAATAAAGATTTTTGCATATCTTTATGTTTTATTGTCTTCTGAACATTTTGGCATACTTTAGAAAAAATTGATATATGTGTGATATTGTGTGTATGTATGTGTGTGTATGCGTGTGTGTGTATGTATGCGGATACAAATTTTCGTCAACGATTTCAGAAACACGGGTCAATCGATTTGAATAATTCAAAATCATTCAATTCGTATTGATAACGAATCAATTCGTAATTGAAGATAAGGGACAAAAAGTGCCAAAAATGATTATTACACATATGAACATCACATTATCTCAAATTTTATAGATATTTTAATAATAAGAACAAATTTTGTTTACTTTTCTATAGGTTCAGTATCAATGTTTATCCGTTATACTGCAAAGTAATCGCTAACGTATTGCGATTCCTGTAAAAACAAATGTTCAAAATTTCCAAAATATTTTAAAATATAAAAAAATAAAATTTCTCAAAAAGGTCAATTCTTCTAAAAAATTTAAAAAATTCCAAATACCGATTTTTTTTCAGAGCTCTAAAAGAAAATTGAATCTTAAAAATAGTAATTTTTGGTACGGGAAGTTCCAGTGATGCCATGCACCACTAGTTTATCTATTCAACTTATCTGCCAATTCATCTCACTTCACAAATAGTGGCTGCCATCTCTTTGATACTTGAACAATGAGAGTTGGCTGTAGAGCTTTTTTGCGTATGCACGTGTCGATAATTGTTTAACTTTTTAATTAAATTCAGTAATGAATTTAATTAATTCATGCATCATTTCAATCAAATTATTATACCAACCTCACGTGAAACAAAGTTGAAAAGATGCTTCTAAAAACTACAGAACAGATATCTGTTAAAGCCCTTTCTACGTTTCCTTATAATTTATCACATTCTCATTCAGAGCTCTGAATTTACTAATTATAATTTATAGTCACATGCATTTTATTATATCCTATATATTCATGTTTAAAATTATTAACAAAAGCTGAACAAACAGTTATTTTCCAAATAAACGACATAGTTACATGTAATCTAGGCGCATTTCTGATTAATTTCTCACATATTTGTAATACAAATTTATCTATAATAGATAATTATAAATGTACGTAGAAAAACTTTTCCGCTGTAATTGATATAATAATTGATCCTATAATTGATTATGGAAAATTTTAACATCAATATATCTCCTAAAAGTTTATGAAAACTAAAAGAATATATAAATAATAAGAAAATAATATAAGACTGCGCTATGCGTGAAAAGTGTATTTGTGACACCATAATCAAACATGTTTGTGATATATACAATTTAAATCATCAGTACAAAATTAATAAATCTATTGGAAACAGTTATAAGTGATTATATATATACTTAGTATATAATTAGCAAAACTATCGCAAAGTGCATAATTAGTGCGCCTGCGTACATTTATTATCTAAATCTTTTGGCCGTTATGATATGAATAACTTACAAATATTATATTTCTAATTAAACGTCATATGAAAGTCAATAGAATCAATAAATTTTGAATAATAATTTGAGATTACAGCCAATAACACTATTAATATCTAACTTAACTAGTGGAAGCTTTGGAAAATGACTTGAAAGTTAATATCCACGCGTAAAATTACCTAGAAAGAAAAAGAATATCTACGTACTTTTTCCAGGAGCATTGATTTACTAGAATTTTTAAAATAAACATTCCAAAAATACAACTGTTTTGGAAAATAGGAATGATAATCCAACATGTATCATCATATTAAATGCAATTAATTACTTCACTTGGCTTCATGAAAATTTACGCAGATATACTAATTTAACTTCCATCAATCAAAATTACTCTAAAGCATTTTAAATACTTGTCCAAAAATACATTTTTTCATCAATATAAGCAAAAACAATGAAACTTATTTACAATCTAAAGGGTTGATAAATATTGCACTTTTTTTTGAAGGAAATATTTTTTAAGAAGAATATAATACCATTATTTAATATTTGACAACAATATTATATACTAACATAAATAGGCTTTTCGACTTATATAAATTGATGTTGATTTATAGTAATAGTTATATAAATTGTTGCAGAATGATGCACTGGGATAAATGATAATATTGGATTCTTAAAAATTTGTAAAAAAATATGTTGCTTCAAAAAAGTAGTAGTTGCAAGACCATACTGAGAAGCTGGTATTACAAAAATGAGATATTTATATGAAATTTGTAATTTTAAATATGAGTCGATTGATAATTCAAATTTGGCATGATATTCTATAATTCGAAAGATAATTTTGCAGATATCATTCCACATCTTGCGCTTATTGCACATCAAAAGTGACAACTGTCTTTTTAGATAAATAAGTTTAAACTTTCACCGAATAACAAACACATATTTATATCACCTAGTCGTAACCAAAAAAACAAAACAACATCAATGATAAACTATTAAACTTAATCTTATCCTTATTACGAATTTTAGAGTTTCGTAGTAAATGTAGATGATAAATAAATTACCATCTAAAAGACCAGATTTTTCGGTTAATAAAAATACAATTATACTCATCTAGATACATGGACAAGAGAGAACCACTCTGTGATTTCATTAGTCAGATCCAAATCGTACAATTTCAGTTCGACACCACCTAAAAATTCATTTTCTTGTAAGGAATCGTGGCTCCATACAGTTGCATGAAGTGTTCGATCTCTTATCACATCCAACGCCATTCGATATTCCAACTAATAAAATAAAAAATCAAGAATTATTAAAATTATATCGTAACATTACAAGAGATGCTCGAATTCAAAAAGTAGCAAGGTAAAACTATGTTGTATTATTTATTAGAAACCATGTTGTATTTCATTCTGTCATTCAGTTCATTCATTCTGTTGCTGTCTTATGAAGGCACAGTATGGGCGCGGCGACCCGGCGCTAAAAAGTTCCGGGTCGTCATGTCGCATTACAGAGTTGTCTAAGGAGCCAGGACAGTTTTAGTTAGATTGTTTTAGTGGGATTGCAGTGTTAATGTGGAGTTTAAACAATGACTAAATTCAGTCCTATGAGGTATTGCGCTCGAACTGGTTTTAAGCGGTATTTAGATGGCAACCCAATGGTTAACCCAACAATATTAAATTATTAAAATTTATCAAATATTTCCAATACATTCTAAGTTTGCTGTAGTAATGCTTAAAAAGAGCCCTCCTCAAGAAAAATTAGAAACAAACTTCACTTTTTGTTTTTAGGCATTTGCTTGGCTTGTAGACTATTTATAGGTATTTATGTGTGTACACTATTTTATATATTAAATAAAATGAAATACAATATTTCTAATAATTATTAAGCCAATTCTTACCATTTCCATAAACGTTGGATGACAACTTCTACGCACAACCTTTGTTTTGCGTTTTGTAACTTTAGATGAATCAGGTTTCAGGTATACCTATCAAAGAATAAAAGTAATTTTAATAACAGAATCAAAAATACTTCCAAATTCTTTTAAAAATAGCAAGTTTAGCAATTCATTCGTGTTGGTATCCTACAATTAAAAAAATGAAAACGTAACTTCAAAAATTTAATGATGCAAAGTAAAAATAGTAATTTTTAAGCAACATGTTTCACACATGCTGATGGATTTAATGAATTACCAAATGACTACTTATATTTCACCTTAACATATGTATTTGGTTCCTGACCACCAGCCACCAGTGGCAGACTTCTTGCATGGTGAACCATCACGGTCAAAGTACCACGATGATAGTGCAAAGACAACTTCAACTGACCAGCTAAAAGTGAATGATCTGATCTTGCAGTTGGCCTTCGTTCTGGAAACAATTGTAACATAAAGTAAAACAATATTACAAATGATATTTTTTATGACTATTCTAACAATCCAACTTAATAACAATATAATATATTAGCCTCTGTATACTTTATAATGTATGTTGTATTTTCTGGTTCCTGTTACGACAGACATTGATGATGAATACATAAATATAATATATATTTTTCCTGAGTTAGGATTTCATTTTAAGGAAACATCGTATCATGCAATTTTTAATCATTAAGAGAAGAAACGGATCTTTAATCGTAAAATTTTAAATATCGAATCATCCACGTTTTCATTATCAAAATTTTATTAATGTGAATGAACTCATTTAGAGAAATCTGCAATATAAATTTGATCCCACGACCTACTGCATAGGCATAATTCTTCTTATAATTTGATTATTATGCAATTTTAACTAGTGAGATAAAATTTATAGGTTATCGATTGCATTAATTAATTTTATGGTTTAATGAGCACGTATAAAAATAATTGTAGAGTTAATAAACTGCAATATGAGCTACGAAAGTATTTGTCGACACCGAAAATTAAACGCGGCTTGTTGTTTTCAATTATATTAATCGATAATAGAAATCGGTAATATCTACATTAATTTGAAAAATTATCATTTATTAAAAAATGAATTGCACAGTGTGCTCGTCAATTGAAAATAAGAAAAAATAAGAATTAGAAAAATAATATTAACATTTTTTTCATAATAATGATAGTATTAATAAATACAAAATAGAAGATCCATCAGAAAAAACTTTGGAATAAAATTTATATATATTGGAGTCTGAATCTGAACTATTGGAGGTCCTCTTCTTCAATGTGAAGATTCACTGTTAGAAATTATTTACTATTATCAATGCGTTTTTACTTTTAATTCCTTAAAATCTTGCTGATTACTCAAAATCATATTTGAGATCAAAAATAACATATAATTAAGGAAATAAAATATAAATACAACAAGGATATTTTAATTTAAAAAATATTATACTGACAAGATAACGTAGTTAGGTTGGATTAGGAGAATAATTGAGATGTAGAAACTTTAAAAGTTAGTTATTTTGAAATTAGAGACTGAAATTCTTAGTAAGAAAAAGTGTGAAAAAAAATGATAATAAATCCTAAATGTGCTTACCTTTGCATTTCAGTGCATGTACATCGCTCTCCTGCTGATCTCTTAGCAAAGGATGGAAGAAGGTGTATACCAGATCAGAATGAGCGATTTCATCAGCTTTTCTGAAGAGCGAAGCCAGGAAAGCTCGGACATCAGCCGCCCTCTTGGCCGCCACTTGCTTGATGTTGGATCTGCCAACGTGCAGACCACTAGGCAAACTGGAATAGAAAAAAGGAAAATAAATATAGAGACGATATCATTTTAAATTTTATGGCAATTGGGAGGCTTTAAAATTTTATGGAATCTTCCCAATCATTATGGGTAAGCCTCAAACAATAATGAATTAAGAATAGTATGAAATAAATTTCTATTTTTTCATCTATATTGTTTTGCTTGGAAGCGTGGCATTGATGAACAGTGTAAAAGTTTAGACCTGTCCTTAAGATCGTGGATTGTAAACAGGAGGTAAATATTGTCTATTTTTATTGAGCTCACATTGGTTTTTTATATGTGGTAAATATTGTTTATTTATATGTAAATTAAACGTGTAAATTAATTATGCTAAATTCTAATTTGGGTTAAATATTGACTATTTATATAGGGCTCATATTGGTTTTGAATGGAAGTTTCAGTTAACAATTATTGTTTACTAATATTGGGATTATATGGCGCCCATATTGGTTTCGATATTGGCTTTATATGGAAAAATATTAACAGATCAATATTGGTGCAAAATAGTTAAATTATACAGAGCCCACTTAAAAAACTATAACAATTGTCATAAAGAAATATATATACGAGTACATGATTAGTTAATATAGTACTTGGTATAGTGTATTTAGGTTAAAATCAAATCCTAATTAGATATGAACAATTTCCTAATTAGATATAAACATTTCTAAGAATCTGCAACGTACGCATGAGAATGAAGACATATTTTTCATTCGATGATTTGACTAAGTGAATTGTTATAATAAAATTTATTTCTACTTGGATGATTAAAACTTTTTATGCTTAATCTTATATGATATAAAAAACAAAATAATTATTCCAAAATAGCAATATTAGTACAAAATAATCAAAAAAGCATATTTCGTGAAAATTTTAAACTGTGGCCCAATATAACTCTATAGATACGCCAATTTACAAAATTTGTCTCTTGTGAGAAAATTTTTATTTATTTGTGAACGACAGATTAGTTATGTCGTGCACAAATAATATTGGCTGTTAGTTAAAATAAATCATCAAGTATAAAATTCTTTATATAAAATATATTTCGCTAAGTTTAAAATTTTATTTATTAGTTCTAATTTCCAAGCACTTCTAACACATCTTGACATAAAGAATCCCTACCCCTAAGATGAAACTTCTACAAGAAAATTATTAATAATTCATCAAAACCATTGAAATATCTTGTGATACCAGTTATATCCAATATTGTTTAAGGTTTTAATAGTTTTCCAAGCAGAGGCCTGCTATTTTTAATATTTGATTCCAAATATAAATTTCCAACTATAATGAAAATATAGTATGATTTGAAAACTGTATGAATGGAAGTTGTATACGAGTAAGTTAATTATACGCATTTATTACTGTTATTAAAAACTATTATGTTTTTGGTTAAATACTCTTATTTATATTCTATCAATAATATATTATATTGGATCTAAGAATGTGACCGGATTCACAATGGCGCTTTCGACCTAATAATGGGCTTAAAATGCTTTCTAAAATTAATTTTCTGGTGCAATAGAGATTACATACTCAATGTTTCTCAAAACAATATTTAGTAAAACACTCTTAAGAAATCATTGCTTCATTGATAATTGAATATTTGATTTGAGCACAACAATTTGTCAATTGTTGTAAATATTGTAATAAAAATATTCAATAATACAATCCTGCTTCATATAATTGGCATTGAAATAAAATTATTTCAAATGTTTCATACTATTTATTTTCAAAAGAAAGTACCACAAATTATAGTGAGAGTAATACAGACACACTGTATCAAAGTCAATTGAAATAAATTAATTACGAGGTAAACTGAGCGTTTGATAGCTCAATAATTTGTTTTATCTAGTAATGTCTTGATTTATATTATTTCACACAATCAAACAACATAAACTTTTGCTTAAATTGAGAAGAACATACGTATTTAATATAGCAAATCATAAAAAAGTCAATTTTTTAAATTTTGTATTCGAAAGACATTTTTTCCCTGCAATTGCACTTGTCTATTTCAGGACAAATATACAACAAATTGAAGATCACTATTGACTTACTCAAAATGTATGATAAATATTGATATTGACAGATGTTAATTACCTCAACATGAGTCAAATTTAATATTAAACATACTATAATTAATCAATTTACCAATAACGACGTATTACTTGCAATTAAGCATTTTGCAACCAACATGATACATGAAAATAATTTGTTTTATCTAGTAATGTCTTGATTTATATTATTTCACACAATCAAACAACATAAACTTTTGCTTAAATTGAGAAGTAAATACGTATTTCATATTGCAAATCATAAAAAAGTCAATTTTTTAAATTTTGTATTCGAAAGACATTTTTTTCCTGCAATTGCACTTGTCTATTTCAGGACAAATATAAAACAAATTGCAGATCACTATTGACTTACTTAAAATGTAAGATAAATATTGATATTGACATATGTTAATTACCTCAACATGAGTCAAATTTAATATTAAACATACCATAATTACTCAATTTACCAATAACTAGTATTACTTGCAATTAAGCATTTTGCAACCAACATGATACATGAAAAACCAACTGCATACAAGCTGCAATATTAAGTATTGCGGAGCAAAACATGTTTTTATAGAAATGCACATTCAACATTCAAAATTTTCCATTAAAAATTTACAAATTTACATAATAAAACGATAAAAATACTTTTGTTAAATGTATCAAAATATTTAATTTACAATTCATTACCTGAGCTCTCACCTGGGAAAGAAAGTTCGAACGCTCTATTAAGCAATTTTTGGAGGAATGCGATTGATAAAAAATATATCGAGGTGAAATAATCACATTGTGAAAATATTTAAATGTTAAGAGTTTTTTTAGGAACAAACATCCCGAACAAAGTCGTATTATTATTGCACTATAAACACAATCGTCAGAAGCACGTTGCACACCGCACACTTCACAATATGTTACATTATCACAATAACATTGACATAGAATTTTCTTTATTTTATTTATAATTTTTAATTCGATTTAATCAATTCGAAAACGTATTGAACACTTAACCTTATCAATAGAAGTGCAATTAAATAGAAGATTAGAGGTAACGCGTGAGCTGCCATGTTGATTAGTGTCTTTATTAACTCAAACGTCAAATTCATAAAACTGAAAGTTTCAACGCGAGAAGAAAGTGATCTATTCAGGGAGGGGCAACCTGGGAAAGGAATTAATACAAAATTATTATTCAAATATTTGGTTACTCAACCAAACCTTAAAAAACTTATCAGTGGAAAGTTTTAAAAAACGTACTTTAATATGTAAGAAATATTTTTTTATATAATCCATTTAATCTAGGGCTTCTTAAACTTTTGTTATTTGCGACCCCATTTATGATTGGGTGTTTCTTGACGATCCCACACAAATATAAAAGAAAGAGAAATTATTATTTTTAGATGATTTATTTATTAAGCAACAATATATAATTTTAGAATTCGTTGTAATACATTCAAAAATCTAAATGTGATGTTATAAAATGATATATATATATATATATATATATATATATATATATTTGACATTGAATCTCTCGCGACCCCATAATTTTTCTACCCGACCCCAAATGTAATCGGGACCCATAGCTTAAGAAGCCATGATTTAATCCATTATTTATAGAATATATTAGTTGATACATAAAACTAAAAACTTCTAACTTGTTCCTAACAAATGTCCTGGAATGGAACATATATAGTTCTGAAATGTTCAGAAAATGAACACAGCAATAAATATTATAAATTATAAGTCAAAATTATATATAATAACTTTCATCTATAATTATAGAAATTTAAAATCTTCATTAAAAAATGTGCATTTTATTCAAAATCGCCATTAAAAATGGTGCAAGTATGTATGACAATTTTAAGAAAATCAATTAGATAATAAAAACTAAAATCGACTTCCCAAAAACGTCAAAAACTAAAAAGAAAAAGTCAAAATAAATAAATTAAATAAAATAAATAAATTATTTTAAATAAAATTAAATAGATATTATTATTAATTCAATTTTTTAATTCAACGATTTCGCTGCTTTATTAAATGCAGCTTGATTAAAATATACATTAAATCATATTTAACAATTTATTTAAATCCAGCCTTTTGAATTTATCTATTTATTAAACATTAATTTACATAGAACTTTCTACGTTAGAATAAATAAATATTTAAATAAATTTAAATTAATAAATTGAATAATTTGAAACAAACCTAAATAGATATTATTTATTGAATTTTTTAACTCCACGATTTTGCTCCTTTATTAAATGCATCCTAATTAAAATATATATTAAATCATATTTAATAATGTTATAAATTTATCTATTTATTAAAAATGCAATTTAAACATTAATTTAAATAGAACTTTCTCCGTCAAAATAAATAAACTGAATTATTTTAAACTAAATTAAATAGATATTATTATTTATTTAATTTTTTAGTTCAACAAAATGCATCTTAAACCATATTTAATAATTTATTTCAATTCAGACTTTTGTATTTATCTATTTATTAAAAATGCCATTTAAACATTAATTTACATAGAACTTTCTACGTCAAAATAAGTAATAGATCTTACTATTTAATTTTTTAATTTTTTTTAAAATATACATTAGATCATGTTTAATAATTAATTTAAATCCAGCATTTTGAATTTGCCTATTTATTAAAAATGCCATTTAAACATTAATTTGCAAAAAACTTTCTACAGCAGTTTTATTTAATATATTAAGCCCGTGTTAATTTTTTTTTTTAATATTAATTTATTATCAATTGAGTATTTTTTTACGAACAAGTGCTATGAACATACATTTCTGTTGATGTGCTATTTCCAACATTAAAATAATGAGTTTAAACATTGTAAAATGTATGTGATCTTATTATACACACTTTGATATTCAATTATTGATTATTTAAAAAAATCGAGTATTAGAAAAAAAGTT